GTTGGCTGTCATAGCATCAAAAACTCTGCCTGGTTTCACTTTCCAGGCACATTCAAATCATAGTTCCCCACTTACTGTTGTGATTACATATAAATTTACCACAACTGGAATTGTCATACGTGCTCGTAGACCTGACTAGTTAGCTGTCACTACTATACTGCCGAGTTATTTGCACTATGCTACGGATATCTCGGATCTGCACCAGAAGGCAATTAATCGCAGTTTTATTGCATAATTTCAGCAGTTAATTTTTGTACTGCCAAGGCCTTTTCAACCGGATTTTTTGCGAAAACTTTGTCTAGAATGACTGATTACTGAGCACTGATCCGCCTAGCATCGACGACAGAATTAATTACTTAGCAGCACTATCAATTAAAATCCTAGTTTGTTTCCATCGAGCTGCATGCCGAATCTAATTAATTTCTTTGAACTGTTGCTTGGTAAGATATAAAATGGGTTACTTTTCCAGGGAAAAAGTCTGTTGAATTGGTGCATGGGAAACGTTCAAAATGTGTTTTGCTTTAAATCTTTTGCATTATATAGCGGCAGCTAGGCTAGCCCTTCAGCCAGGGGTATTCTCTCTTTTGAAATAATTTGCATGTGTCCAGCTGTTAGAGGCAATCCTTGCGCAATTGTCAACCAAATATTCACGCGTATGGATCATTCCCCTGATGTTGCAATCAATGCGGTCTTGTTCATTAGAATTGCATATTGTCGTAGCATGCTGTGTTGGAACTTTATCGGATTGTTTGGTTGTTCCATATGCTGTGTTTAAAATTCCCCATTTCACATGGCATTCAAGACAAAAAGCAATAGCTTGAAGGCTACGCATTAATTCATGAGACAGCTTGATCAACAGCTATGGTAATCAATCAAGGGATATGGCTATTTTGGGAATGAGAATATGGAATTCCATCTCGGTGCTCAGGTAAAAATAGATTAGCTATTCAGGAAACCTTTTGGAGATTCATAGATGATCTGATGAGCGAGATTGAGCAGCATGTCAACTTGTCAACTGGACTGACTCACTTTGTACGTAGCTTTTAACTAGCAAAGCATTTACCAGATCGATGTGAATGATCAAAAACTATAGGTCCCAGAAATTTCAAAGACAATCAAGATTTTCTTCGGCAGGAAGGAGAAAGAGATATGTGCCAAATGGTGGGGTCTGAGAAGGGTGGTGGTGTGTGTGTGGTAGTGAGGCTGATCAGTGGCAATGCTGCAATCCAACTTTTTTGGTCATGTTAAGGGTTTCGTCAAAAAGGGCATGCAAGCAAAACTCACATCATCACTTTCATGTGCTGTGGGACAGTGACACAAAATACCACTTCACACTCATCTTTGTTACCCTAATTCTCTTGCCTCTTTCTTTTTTTTTTTTGTCTTTAAAAACCAAAAAACTATTGTTCTGACCCACCCTCTTTCTCACAACCTGGAATCCACAACCCACATGGATGCAATATTTTCATTGAAAGAGATGTGAAATCATGCTGAAAATGTCATATTAGTTGCTTCATTTGCTGGTTTTAAGATGGTATGTATGTTCTTATGGCTTGGGATAAACCAGCAGCTTGCATCCAATTAACAGTGACAGATTAATTTCCTCCTGTCCGATGCCATGAGTGTTTCCCCATCTCCTTTTCCCCACCGACAGTGTTGATATGTTTGCCTTTGAAGACCGTTACAACTCGACCAAAATCATAAATACAAAATTTTGGTATCATAAATTTCAACATTCTTTTGCATTTACATATGCTCAAGAGCAAAAAAGTGCTATATGGATCAAGGGTAGAGTTAATCAATTTTTGTTGAAAATCAAGAATGAAGAAAAATAAGAGTTAAAATTTTTTAAAATTAATATATTAAATTTAATTAATAATTAATTAATAATAAATAATAATTTTATATAACATGTATATAAAAAATAAAAAAAAACTTACAATACTCTTTTAGAAAGTTGTGTTCAACAATTTTTTTGGATTCAAGAAATCGAAAAAAATCACAACAAGGCAAATTAATTTATCAATTAAGATTAACAAAAAAAATGATATATTGATAAAATTTTAAATAATAGTAAACAATGCAATATTACAACTTATATTAGAAAATAACAAAATAATTTTTTAATTTTTAAAGATTAGAATCATCGAAAATAAAATTCACATAACAAAAAAAAAACATTGATAAGTAGAAGATAAAACACACATAACAAAAAAGAAAGAAGAAAAACATGGTTAATGGTTTGTAATAATTTGAAGAAGAAAATTCAAAAAAACTTAAAACATATGAGTAAATAAAATAAATATAAATAATAATTATGATATAAATTAAAAAAAATAAAAAAACTTTAACTCTTTTTAATTTCATAAATCTCTTTAAAACTATGAAGTATGTTTCAATAGTAAATTACTCCTATTAGATAAGCTAATAGGCAAGCATTCCAGGATAAAATTTTACACTATAACAAAGAATTGCCCCCATGGCCAAGCCAATACTTGAATGAACATATACTCAAAGGCACCTCTTGAATTAGTAATAACAAAAGAAGCAAATAGTAATAAAAACATATAATATAGAATATCCCACTTTTTCTTTTTCTTTTTTTTTTTTGGGTTATTGAGTATGGATAAAATAAAATGAAAATGATGAATGCGTACGAATGAGGTCAGGGCTTAGCAAAGTCTCTCAATTGCTTTCAGTCCTTTACTTTCAGACTGAAAAATCTGAAACCATGGAAATTATCAAGCAAGGTTCCCACCCTCTCTCTCTCTCTCATCAGTGCATGTCCATGTCACTGACCATGGCTTGTCTGCAGAACTTGACAACCAGTTGTCATTCGTATGTGAGCAATCTAAATTATGATTATGACTGCTAAAGAAAACCAAAACCTGCTTGATCACAACTTCACGAGCAGGAAAACATATTATTCCTACAAGTTTAGAAAAGGGAAAAAAAAGGGTCCTTGTTTCTTGAACATGGGAATCGTGGCTTACATGTAGAAGCAAGCATAGGAAAGAAATGTTCCAGGAAAGTGACTACTTACCTATAATAAACTAGAGATGGATTTGTGATAATAACTTTTTTTAAAAAAAATTAAGTTGAAAATATTTTATGAAATAGATATGTAATAATAATTGTATTATTATATTTAATTTTGGTATATATTGATATGTACAAAATGTTATTTTATAAAATATATAATTGCTGATATTGTAACTATAGTGGTATTATTTGTGGTTTATTTTCATACAAAAATATACTCATAAATAGTCTTATAACAAAACAAAATTTTAAATAAAACCTCTAAACTTATAGTAGAATATATAATAACTCAATCTTTTTAAAAACTTTATTTTTAACTAGCTGATATGCACCATTTTGTATTAATTACATTTAACATTGAAAAATGATATGAGAGTAATAAATAATTAAATCAAGAAAAAATATTTTTTATAAATACCCACTTATAAAAAGTAAAAAAAAAATCTAAAATATCAATTATGAGAGAAAAAAAAAATCTAGTTCAAACTCAACTCCATCAAACCTTAAGCTTACGACCCAAAAACCTAACTACATGTCAAACTAATAACCTTGTCAAATGTCAACCTATGAACCCTTTGAGAATTTCTTTAAATATAACAAATCTTTTTTTATTATTTGTAATTTTCAATGCTGGTAAAAAGTCTAAATGAAATTATTTATTAATTTAAATAAGGACGCCCACATACATGTAAGTGGTTTTTTTTTCTTAGTTATGTTGATTTAGTTATTTATAGTTATATAATCAGTTTTGTACTTGTTTGCTAATGATGAAGTTTAAAGTGTAACATTACAAATTATAGTATTTTTTGACTACTAATTTTTTCCTTAACTTTTTTCTCCTATTTATATTCATAAATTTTAAATGATAAGATAGACATGAAATGAAGCATTCTAATAAGGTCAAATTTTATATGTGTTTAAGAGGAAATGTATTTTTTAGTGTTGAATGAAGAAAATAATTTTGAAAATTTTATGAGTTTCGTCTACCTTTTCATGAGTATTATCAGAATAATGACATGCAGGTGAGTAAGCTCATGTTTTAAATTTAGTTGATTTTAATTTATTTGGTTATCAGAAGTTTCTTTTTATATTATTAATAAATTAATGAAATGAGATTGGTAGAGCAGTTGGCCTTATCAAATAGTTAAACCAATATAATTAATTTGGCATTTGAATTTGGGCTCTGGGGTTGATTTCCCCTACCAGGGAGGATGGTTAAGAAATTTATAAAAGTATAACCAATAACCTTGTCAAGTGTCAAACAAGTAGCTTTGGAGTTTTTATGTGGTAGCCAGGTGAAGTGAGAGAACAGACAAGTTTTCTTCAACATATGGCAAGGAGTACACACCATAAATATCAGTTGCATGGCCTGCAATTGTGCAAACTGCTCAACCCTTGTTCTTTACCTTCTCCAGAGTCCCAAATTTATAATATTTATGGCAACTTCGACAAAGTCATAAGTATTGAAAATAAGTTGTTTCAATTGATAGTATCAAGATAAGATATCGATGCAATTTTAACATAAACCTATTTAAATTTATACAAACATGTTATCAATTGAGCTTTGATTTCTAACCTTTTTTGGTCAAATAGTATCATAACTTTTGAGTTTCATTGTCAAGGTACTCTTAATGAATTTGTTAAAGAAGTGACTCAAATTGAGTTCCAATTGTTTCTCTTCTTTTTTACCATTAAGGGCAAAGCCCAAGTACAGTAATCGAAATGGGTTTGTCTCCTAGTATGACCATCAGGCCAAGCCCCATATTTCCATGGATTTCTATTGATTGGTTAGGGAAAGGTCATTCATGCATGAAACTTTGCTCACTAACCCATAACTACAATATGGTTCCTAGGGCTTATAGAGGGAATTATTCTTTTGCCCTGTTTATCCTTCTCATTTTTAAATACATGAAAATTTGTGGTTGGTATTATTTTTGACTCTGTTTATCACCAAAAAGAGAGAGAAAAAGGAAAAAGTTTGTCATTTTTTTTTTCTTATTACAAAAACTAGAAACAAATTATCAAAATCCTATGAAATGAAGTAAAAAGGGGAAATAAAGGTTAAATCCTCGGAAGCAGTCTGCTAGTTTTCTCCCGCCAAAGAAGGAAAAACAAAAGAACTTTTAATAGATGTTCTGTTTTTCTCTGTTTCGCTACCCGTCTCCTTTAATCACTGAATTAAAACCCCAGACTTTACTCTTGAAAGCCCAATTCAAAACCCAAAATTTTCCTCTTAATTTCTCGCGAAACCAGCTTTTTACCAACTTTTTCACCGAAAGAATTTCTGGGTATCCAATAAAATCCCCTGCTCGTTCTTCTTCTTTGGAGGATGAGTATGACGTGGAATTGGGCCTCCTTTTAGCTCTGTTGCCAGAGGAAATGAGAAGCAGAATCAGTGAACATGAAGAGCTACGTGAGTTGATTGAAGTGGTTATGGATTTAGGCAGGAAACCTTTGGCTAGATTTCCTTCAGGGGATTTTGTATTATCCGATTGTCCAATCACAGTTCAGGATATAGAGCATGCTACTTCTAAGGTGAATATATATATGTTTTTGTGGTTATTTGCATAATAAAATTGTTGATAAATGCTTTGGATGGTAATTAAGGAGTTTCTTTTTTCTTCTTTTTCCTCATTGAAGTGTGTTCATGAACGACTCATCAATGTCATGAAAAGAAGAGGAGGGTAATTGAGGGGAGAGAAAATAAAAAAAAAAATTTCTTGTTGAATTGGACGAGTTAAAAAATCAATATAGTTTTAGAAGAAGGGTGTTGCTTGCATCCTTTTAACAATATTCTTACTCGAGCTATGACCTCTTTCATTTGCTGGAGCATGGATTATCCCTTATTTTTGACTACTGGGCTGTAGTGTGGAGTCATGTTTACTGCTTACTAGCACCAAAATTGCAGGTTGGTGATTTTGCCATCGATAATCGAGCAGGAATCAGCCGAACATTACATCGCATTAGTGCAATCAGGAATCGGAAGGGCACAATTATTGGTTTAACTTGTCGTGTTGGTAGGGCAATATCGGGAAGTGCTGATTTGTTGAGAGATTTAGTTCAAGATGGGGCTTCCTTGCTGCTCATTGGTCCTCCGGGAGTGGGGAAAACAACAATTATCAGGTTAACTCTTTCTATCTCATATCTGTTGGATAAGGTTGCATCACTAGGACTGCCTTTTTCTGTTCTCATTTTTCAGTTCTTGCATAGTTCATTTTGTGCATGTCAAACACTCCATTCTAACTAATTAGCAAGTTAGTGTCTCTTTACTCAATAGAATTCTCTAAATTCTTTTATTAGTAAACTGGTCATACTTCGTCATGGTCCTTGCTGAAGTAAGGTACTGAGAGGAGTCAAGTGGAATTGTTCCTCTCCTTTAGTAGTTTTACTAATAGTGGGTGCTCTCAAGGCTTAAACTGGTACTTTTGAGCTTGTTAGTCCAAAATTATTATTATTAGATTAGTAACAGCTTTCAAATCTTTTGACTCAGTGAACATGTTAAATCCCATTGTACCAGAAGAGTTTTAACGGCTGTCTTTTCTGTCTTAATGCTGGAAATGCATTTGCACGTACACTCCTACACTTAGTCTGATCATTTATATATATATATATATATATATAT